CCCCCAATTAAAAAAGGAAAAAAAGATAGCTTTGTTCGTTTGTTGGAACATTAAAACTTAGATCATTACATGTAATTTACAAGTCGGGCCTCTTCGATCCTGCCTCTCAGGGCCCCCGGAGTCACAGAGGGATATGCATGTATTATTATCATAGATCTCCTGTTGTATCAGAGTGACGGAGACCCTCAATAAAACACTTACCCAGTTGGGAATCTAACATATTATTATGTCTGTAGAGCGTGCACGGCAAAGCCCATTCTGTAACCATTAAACCACTGTCGTCTGTTTCTTTGTGTTGTGTGTGGGGTCTGTTTACTCAACGTCTGCTCTACGGCGGCCATAAAATGTTACGTGTATTTCTTTCTTCAAATTCCAGGTAGGAGATCTAATGTGACAAGTTCAGCCAGGCTATTTGAAAAAATCTTTTAGGCACATATTCTTATTTTGTTAAATTGTTAAATCTGATATCAAATTCGTACCCCCGCCCCCTTTCGGCCATACCTAAAGGGGGGACATTTCTCGTTCAAGCATAGTAGAATTATAAATGGGCTGACTCATCATGTCACGCTCGTAACTGTGCCTGATCTACAACAGGGAGCTGCTGCTTTTTCTGTCCTAATCCTTACTATTGTCATTTTCCTCTACTTCTTTTGTATGTTTGTCACTCTCTTGTGACCCGCTATTTCCGGGGTGCCTTGACAGTCAAAGCAGACTTTGTGGTGCTGAAGCTAGAGAGGCGAGAAGAGCAAGTCTAATTCCCTGTAAAGACTTCTCTGTTGACATCCACCCCCTGGCGCTCATATGAGCGTATGCAGTTGCGAGCGCGTAAAACCCTCTACTATAACTAACGAAATTCGTACCCCTGGCAAAATGTTGATGCGAAAACGAATTTAAAAAACGTGTATAGGCCCAATGAATGCCATTTAAAAAAGCAGCGCTTTGTTCGCCGAGTCTATTGACGTTCAGTGGCTGCTGTAGTCGATTACTGATGTTTTTCCCTCTTTTGTGACGTCACAAACGTGTGGCAGTGTTCCTGATGTCACAGGTGACGTCACAGCTGACAATGGCTCGCAGTGAACCCACCAAGCTGTCCCCCACCACTGGGTCGACATACTATAGGTAAGTCTCGGTGGTCTAGTGAATCGTGAGGTTGTCGGGGGTCTAGTGGTCAGGCCGCCGGACTCGTAATCGTGAGGTAGCGGGTTCGGGGGTTTGAGCCGTGGGTCAGACGTTGTGTCTTTGGGAAAGACACTTGACGAGAAGTGTCCTCTCTTCACCCAGGTGGGAATGGGTACCCGGCCATAGACAGCGAAAGATCTTGTCAGTATTTTAGTCTCTCTCTCT